AAACTACAATCTTTTATTGTTGTTTTTAAAGATTTTTTTTTTAAATTATGCTTGTGTATGTGTGTGCACATGTGTTTGTGGCATTTGTAAATGCAGAAAAGTATATCTGCTCTCTTGGAATTGGAGGTGTTTGTGAACCATATGATGTGGGCTCTAGAAATCAAATTCAGGTTCTCTGGAAAAGCATCAAATACACTTAACCGTGGCGACATTTCTTTAGCTTTCTTTATACTTCTTTTGTAAATCCAAAGCTATTTCAAAATAAAATATACTTTAAATGCACAGTATGGGAAGGCAATGTCTGCATCATGCGTTGTATGAAGCATATATCCCCCTAACAGAGACGAACAAAAGCATATGTGGAAACACAGATTATAGGATCCATGATGACCAACACTAAAACAATTTTCTCTGTGCACTAGGCATTGTTCCAAGTGTGGCCCAGGTTTAATCCTCACAATCCCAAGAACTGTGTGTTATCTACTCCTATTTTACAGATAAAGAAGCTGAGGGAGTGGAAATTAAGTTGATAGTTGATCCATCCCTGAAGGATGCATCAGACTTGAACCACGAGGAGCAAAAGAGAGAATTGTGGGTGAATGGGATAGCTTATACAAGCATGTGGACTGAGGTTGTCTAAAGATACAGTGACTGAGGTCTAAAGACACATAATTACTGAAAAGTGCTACCATTTAAGAATTTGAATCCCAGCCTTTAATCCCAGCATTCAGGAGGCAGAGGTAGGAGGATCTCTGTGAGTTCAAAGCCACCCTGGTCTACAGAATGAATCCAGGACAGCAGGGCTGTGACACAGAGAAGAAACTGTCTCAAATGAATGCCCCTATCCCCCTCCCCCCCAAAAGAATTTGAATTCAGGGCTGAAGAGACAGTTCAGTCGGCCTCTTGAATATCCTCTTGGAAGACCTGAATTCAGTTCCTAACACCCACTTGTTTTTTGATTTTTGTTTGTTTGTTTTTACGTTTATTTATTATGTATACAATGTTTTGTCTGCATGTACACCTGCACACCAGAAGAGAGCACCAGATCTCTTTATGGATGGTTGTGAGCCACCATGTGGTTACTGGGAACTGAACTCAGGACCTCTGGAAGAGCAGACAGTGCTCTTAGCCTCTGAGCCCCGCAGCACCCATGAGTAAGTAACTCAGCTCTAAGAGCTCTGATGTCTCTGGCCACTTCGGTCACTGCACTCATATGCACATACGCAGAGTTAAAAAATAATAATAAAATAATTTGAATCCAGAGCTGGCCATGGTGATACACAGCTATAAGCCTAGCACTTGGGAGGTGGAGGCAGGAAGAAAGTAAAATGTCAGCCTCAATTACATAGCAAGCTCAAGGCGAACCAAGGTCACAATGAGACCATGTCTCAAAAAACAAACAAACAAACAAAAACAACAACAACAAAAAAAAAAACCCCACAGTGTAGTGGGCCAGGCCTTTAATCCCAGCACTCAGGAGGCAGAGACTGGGGAGTCTCTGTGAGTTCAAGGCTAACCTGGTCTATACATCAAGTTCAAGGACTGCTAAGGCTACATAAAGAGACCCTGTCTTAAACACAAGACAAATAACAAGACTGGAATCTTTAGGACTGAAGAAGAAAAGAAACAAACAAATAAACAAAATACCACCTCTTCAGCCAGGTGTAGTGACTCAAGACTTTCAATTCCAGCACTCAGGAGGCTGAGGCAGAAAGATGCTGTGAGTTCAAGGCCAGCCTAGTATACATAGTGAGCTCCAGGACAGTCAGGGTTACACAGAGAAACCCTGTCAAAAGAAAGGGGTGTGTGTGGGGGGTGTGAATTTGAATCCAGGCATTTGAGCATCGAAGTTCCATGTGCCTAATCAATATATCTTCCAATATATTTCTCCTCGGTGTGAAGACCACACAGAAATGTGCACAGGGACAAGGCTGAAAAAAGCAGAAGCAAAGAAGTATCCTCATGTATACAGCATAGACATGGAAGAACCATCACTTTTGTTTGAGTTTTTTGGGGGGTGGGTTATTGTTTGGTGTTTTTGAGATAGGGTTTCTCTGAGTAGCCCTGGCTATCCTGGAACTCCCTCTGCAGACCAGGCTGACCTTGAACTCAGAGATCTGCCTACCTCTGCTGGGATTAAAGGCGTGCACCACCACCACCCAGCAGAAACATCAGGTTTTGTTTTCAAGCTGAAAGATGACAGCTAAGCAGGAGGAAGCAAGAGCCTAGCACTAGCAATGGTGGCATACTCCTTTAACCCCAGCTCGCAGGAGGCAGAGGCAGGAGGATCTCTGAATTTGAGACCAGCCTAGTCCACAAGTGAGTTCCAGGACAGCTAGGACTACAGAGAGAAACCATCTGGGGTGTGTGTATGTGTGTTGGGGTGGGGTTGGGAGTACAGCCTGTGCCCTCCTGATGCCTGGTCCTATCTTCCGATCTTTTGCAATCCTATTGCTCCTACCTGCCCCTTTCACACTCCCTCAGATTGCAAAACAAACCAGAGCACTCGCTGTTCCCACAAAGGCAGAACCTTTGCCTTCAAACATCTCCACACTCTTGCACAAATTGTACGTCTTCCTGAAATCCTCTCTTCTGCCTCTCTGGGCACAAGTCTGATTCATCCTCAAGGGCAGCAGCTAACTGTCACCTCTTCAAGCAGCCTTCCTGCATGTTTATAGCTGACTGCAGTGTAGCTACACTGGCTCAGCCACTTGCCCGCCTCTTCTCCACCCTTAGGTAGCCATGTCCCTCCTGAAGACACGCACTCTCTTTGGATGCCTTGTTTTAGTTTGTTTGTTTTGAAGACTGGGTTTTTCTGTGGCTGTCCTGTAACTCGCTTTGTAGGCCAAGGTGGCCTTGAACTCAGAGATCTTCCTGAGTTCCTCAAAGGTGTGAGCCACCATCCCTGGCTTTGGATGCCTTTTTGTTTTATTTTGTTTTGTTTCTTGAGACAGGGTTTCTCTGTGCAGCCGTGGCTGTCTTAGACTCACTTTATAGACCAGGCTGGCCTCAAACACACAGAGATCTGCCTGCCTCTGCCTTCTTGGATGCCGTTTTAAGAATAACAGATCCAGGAATGCTCAGCAAGTGTAAAGAAAGTAGAACCAACAGAACTTGGTGTGCTTGGAATTACCCTCTTCAACCCAACCATTCAACGACTATGATATGTTAGGCACAAGCAAGAAACTCGTTTTGGCTTTGGCAGGCTTAAACACACTTGCCAGCCAGATGGGAGATCTCTGGCTGCCAGCCTGGCCACCAACCTGCTGAATTTGAGAGGGCAATCCCTGGATTAAGACCCTCCTGTGGCTACCTGGCATGATTCTTATTTACAGGCTTGGCTCTACCTGAGGCAAGTATTTATGAGCCCCTTTCCCCAGGACCCTAACTGTTGCTCACTTTCATGGTTTTCCCTGCACTGACCCCTCCCTTACATCCAGCTACCTGAAGGACTGTGTCTGATAGATGCCTCTGTCAGCCCCTGTTGATCCCTTCTCAGGGAAGTCTTTCTGGTCCAGCCCAGCTCAGCCCAGGCTAAGCTAGATGCTTTCGTCGTGATTCTGAGAACCCATACCACGCTGGGGTGAATGAGTCTCCAGAACTTCTGTTTCTGTGTCATCCTCCCCCCATATCCCCCCTCCGCGTCCCCCCTCCCCCCCGTTAGACCCAGCTCCTGTGGGGCAAGGACCAACTATGAGACCACGCAGTGCATTCCCAGGTCAGGCAGTAGTTGTGGGCCAAAGTCCGTCCTGACTTACACGCCTGAAACAGAAAAGATTGCAGAGAGTGAGTGTCCCTGAGAGCTCAGTGACTTATTTAGGAGACTGAGGTCAATGACCCAAGAGTAGAAAACTGTCACCCTCCTCCATCCTCCTGTCCCCCTCTCCCTCTCGGAAAGGAAAATTTACATTTTATCAGAATTTGGCTGCTTCCCCATGCCTCTGTGCCCTTGGGGCTGGGCAAAGGGCAAAGGAGGCGTCCGAGGAATGTTCAGATCTCTAGACTGGGAAACCCTGTCTCTGCCTCTTTCAGACCGGGGATGGGGACAGACGGTCCAGGCTTGAAGGTGCTATGGGCCCCTCGGGCTCAGTCACCTTGGCAAGAAGCCACCCGGATGTGGTGGGTGGCGAACAGGATGGGGCGGAGAGTCCTGGCCGTCTGGGACAACGACTGGATGGGCCACTTTCGCGGGAATCCCGCAAACCGCTCAGAAGTGAGGTGCAGGCAATGGGAACCGACTTGGTTTCTCGTCCATTGAGGGAAAGCAGATTGCTTCAGTTTCGGGACAAGGAAGCCCCTGAAGGCAACGAGGATTCTAGAAAAAGTCCTATTAGTAATCTGAGTGCCCTGATCTCACTCACGGATGCCTTCCCTCGGCTTCTCTACAGCTTTTGCGGTTGGACCTCCGCAAAGGAGCTTCGTTCTGGCGTGCAGAGCTCAGGGAGCAGAAGCTTTGGCCGCTGGGTTCTAGACTGTGCTCCGCTTCTTTCTTCCCGGGACCGCTCTCCACGCCTCCGTCTGGGCCTTTGGTTCCTCATCTGCGAAATGGGCTCAGGGTAGGAGGAGAGGGTTCGGAAAGCCCTCGGAGATTGGACAATGCCAGATCCTGCGTTCACACGGCTTCCCACGGCAGGCCCCCTCCCCATCTTAACTCCACCCCTACCGAGCAGCCTCTCCCCCTTGCCGGCCGCTAGGGGTCACTGCCTCCCTTTGTCAGCGACCGAGGAGGGCAGCCCGCCCTCCGGCCCTCTCCAAGACGGATAGGCGACCCAAGGGGTATCCCGCCAGCGAGGGGCCCTGAGCAGAACCCCACGACCACGCTCGCAGCCACTGCCGCTGCCTAGGGCTGGGAGGTGCGGGCGCCCGGGCGGAGGCCGGGCCAGGGCCGGGCCGGGCGCGTGGGAGCCAGGAGGGGGTTAACGCTAACCCCTCCCCCCGGGCTGACATCACGGGAGAGCGGGTGAGAGGCTGGCTCGGCGAGTGAGAGAAAGAGAGGGAGAGCAGCGAGCGCGGCTCGCCTCGGCGCCCGGGCAGCTCCACATTGTTGCGGATCGCCCGCACCGGGCGCAGCGGCGGCGGCGGGGACTCGCGGAGCCCCCCGGCCCTCTCCCCACGCTCCTCCAAGACCGCGAAGCCCCGAGCCTCGCGGGCAGCTTGGCCGCCGCAGCCGCACACCACAAGCCTGGGCCCGGAGCCCTCCGCAGCGCCCGGCCACCCTCGGAGAGCGGCCGGCCATGGACGCTTGCAAGTTGGAGCCGAGCGGGAGGGTGTGAGCAGCGCGCCCAGGGCCGGGAGCCTGCGCCGCTCTAGCCCGGCAGCCGGGCGCGCCGGGGGTGGGTCCCTCTCCCCAGCCCGGCTCTGCGTGGAAGGAGAGGGCGGGGACCGGGGCAAGTAGGAGAGCAGCGGAGGAGGCGAAGGGGGCATGACTCGTGCAACTTGCGGCGGGCATCTGCCGAGGCTCTGAGCCGGCGGCAGCCCGGGCCCGGATTGCGGCCGCGCGGATCCCACCCGGCCCACCCCGCCCCGGCCGACGGCTGCGGCTGACCTGGATCCTCCGAGCGCCCGCCGGCCGCCAGCCCTCCGCCCTCGTCTTCCAGGCTGGTTTCTGGAGCTCGAGGAGCGCCCTCCTGGCCGCCCCTTTCGCCGAACCCCCGCCCCCCGATGGCTCGGATGGGGCTTGCGGGCGCCGCTGGACGCTGGTGGGGACTCGCTCTCAGCCTGACCGCCTTCTTCCTCCCAGGTAAGGCGATTGCCTCTGCTTCCTCCCCCCCTCCCCGCCCCGTGCTCCCCACCCTACCAGAACCTCCCCGGGACTGGGAGCCGGATGACGGGCACGGCTATGGGTTGTAGGGAGCGAACGGAGCCAGAAAAGTTGGGTCACGCTTGGATAAGGGGGGGGGGCAAGGAGGTGGCACCGAGGAGAAAGGGGTTGAGAAGCCCGACAGCCTGCCCGCAGGGAGGCAGTCGGATGCACGTCCCCATGTGGCAAGAAAGCACTTTCTCCGCTCGGTTCTTCACAAAAATAATAATATGTAATAGGGTTCTATTTATTTAATAACCAGTTCTCAGCGCGAGAAGCAGTTTGGAAACACTGCGTGTTACATAAATGCAAAATAATCACGGTAATCACGGGCTCGGGGTATGAGACAACAGCCCCAGGGGGAGGGCGTCAGTCTCCTGGCTGGTGGGCTGTGGGCTTGGAGGGTGGTGGCAGGGGGGGGGGGCGGACTTCGTTGCTTTTGGCGGCCTCTTGTCAGAGGGTTTCGGGCTCGCGGGAGCCCCCTCCTGCCCCACATCGCCCCACAGCGGGCGCTCGGAGCCGGCTCCTGCGGCACTGGCACCAGCGGCTTCTTGCTCACCTGCGGTTCCTTTCCTAGAGGGGTGAGGCCGGGCCGCCCGGGGATCGCAAACTCGCGGCCTCGCGCGGGACCGGCCTCCGCCTTTAGAACTCCACTTGTGAAGCGGAGGGCTCTCCCGGGAGGAGGCTCCGCGGGCTTCGTGCCAGCCAGGTGGCCGTATGACCCACTTTCCCGAGAGGCCCCGAGGGCTGTCCCGCGTGTCTTTCCGCGAGGTGCGAGCTACCGGCAGAAGAGGGGTTAACCCCGTGCCCGACCCTGGGGTGGCCCGTGGCAGCCCGTTCTGACGGATGGGGTGGGGGCGGAGGCGGGGACGGCCCCGGCATATTGTGCTGGGGAATGAACTGGAAAATGCGTTTAGGAGGCAAATCCTACCGAGTCCCCTCGCCTGGGTTTAACTCCTTGTGTCCCTGGGGAGGTAGCTAGGCTGCCATCAGGACACTAATTTGGGTCAAAGTGGGGAAAGTAGCTCTCTAGCCACCCCACCCCCTGTAAAGAAACCTGAGGTGAGCTCTGGCCCTAGCAAGATGGGGTCTTGGGAAGCCAGAGGAAGCCTGAAGGTAGCTTGCGGTCGTCAATAGGGGCAGAATACCGGTGGCGGAGTAGGGGGCTGGAATATAGACGGAGCCTCCTGGATTAAGAACATCGGATTCGCAGCCACTGTGATTCTGCAGGCTTGCCAGGCAGTTTGTTAGGGAGAGGCTGCCTGACTGTCCAGGTGTGGCTTCGATGCACTCCTGGAAGCCAAGAGCCTGGCCTCCTCTGCTTCCCGTAGCACCCCCTTCTCCTGCCAACCAGCTCACTGCCCGGGCACTGCACCTCTCCATTAGTGGTGGATGCCAGGGAAGCAATATGGGCCAGTGTGGAGTGCACCCCTCGTGGGTGTCCCAGGTGGGAAAATTCCACAGCACTGTCCACTTCAGGAGCATGCTGAACCCTCCAGCGGTGTGGTCTGGGTGGGAGTGAGAGATCTTCATTCACTTTCTTGCCGATGGTGTCAAGAGCAGAACACGCAGAAACTCGGCCTCTGAATTTACATCGTCAGCATAGGTTGGGCTTCAGAGCACCTTTTAAATCCTCAAAGCTTCCTGGAACCCAGGGCAAGCAACTTGCCGAGAGTCCAGAGTATTCCTAGCACACTAGGGGTTAACCTAATCCCAGGATGGACAAAGGGCCCTGAGGGTTTGGAGGGTTTGAGAAAGGATCAGCTCACTACCTTCTATTTGTTGCTCCCTTTCCCCAGTTTTGGGTTGAAGCATGTTCAATTCCATCTTTGGGGGTTAGAGGCCTGCCGTGCTCCACCCACACAAGAGGTGGAGACAACAGAGAGGTGACTCTTACCTGGCTCCTATCAGGAGATGCTCTCCCACCAAAAACCCAACCACGGACTAGGAGGCCCCAAAATGGAAGTTCTCTGCTGCTGACTGACTGGTGGATGGGTGCAGCCGAGGCAGCCAAAGTTCCTGGACTTTCCGGCCTCCTAGATGGAGCCTGCTTCTGTGCACCTGCTGCCTCCTCTGCTTGCTTTCTGAGGTCGGCTGTGGCAGAAAGCAGGTGGACATGCTTACGGTCACTCTGATCCTTGGGCTGAGAAAGCTAGGAGGACCAGTTGGCGACCAGTCCCTGCTCTGTCCTTCCCCGCTCCCTTCCTCAGCTTTTTCATGCTCCTGCCTTTCTCTGGGGATTTGCCAGTCTGCTGCGCATTCCTGGGTTCTCCGGGGCTGTGGCAGGGAGCACTGAGGAAGTGGAGAGGAAGGAGGCTCCAGTGTGTGATTATGGCTCCTGACTTTATTAACACAGCTGGCCTGGCTCTTGGAGTATGTTTCTATGTGACAGATGGCACAGGCAAGGTGGAAAGGGCCCAGAAGCTTCTGCCTTTGTTTCCTTGGATGATGGGCTCCTTCCAGGGTCCTCACTTAGAGGAGAGGGTCTGAGCTACCCACTGAGGGATGAAAACCAGAAGAGGAAGGGGTGGGGAAGCCGTCTGGGAAGTAAGTGTCCCACCTGTGCCACACCCTCTCTAATTGGCATCCCCACACCTTTGGTCTAGAAAGAAAACCCCACACCCTAGGTGTCAAGCTCACCATGCATAGACCTGTCAGGCCACAGCATTCGTTCCTTTTAGGCTGCCTGTGCACAGCACCGGTCATTCCTGTGCCTTTGAAGCCTCTAGAGCCATGCTGTTGGGTTCTTTTCCTCTTCCCTGTTTCTCACAGACATGGTGGGATTGGGCAGGCATTATAGCAGAACCCATTCTGCTGGCCTGGGGCTTGCATTGTGAAACACAGCCGTCTCTAGGCCTCTCAGTCAGGCAGCCTTGTGGAGAGCATCTGAGTCAGATTCAAGGCCTACCCATCAAGGCTGGAGGGAAGGCTAGGCACTGAAGAGCTTGGACCCAGCAGGCCTGGCCAAGTGGCCCAGAAAGTGGCTTCTGAAGCTGGACCAGTAGTATGCCCATAGGACATGTAGCCAGTGGTTCCCTAATGCAAGCAGGGACCATTTGTAGGCTGCCAGTTCCTTCCTCGGCCGCTTGGCTCTGCACAATGAGTCCACCTGGATTGCCTGCACTGCCTGGCCCGTGGGCCCAGTTGTAGGCTGCCAGCATGGCTGTGCTCACAGCTGAGCCAGGGGGCCAGCACGGAGGGTCAGAGGGCTGGCTCGCATTGCTGCATCTATGATGCTGCCATTGTTTGGCAGCTGACTAATGTTCATTGTTCAGCACAAATAGAAAACACCCAAGGGAGGTGTGACTGTAGCCTCCACTCTTTTGATTGTATCTTTCCTGGTTAACTTGGCAAATTGAACACCTCCTAACTGAAGGAGGAGCAGAGAGGTGTCTGCAGAGTCACCTGTTGGGCATTTTTCTTTTTTTAACTTTGAACATTAGCCAGCCCACCAGGTGAGAATGGGCACTAGCCAGTTGTGGAACTTGGCCTCTAACACTTCTGATAGGCTCACCTTTGGTCTAGTGTGGGTGTGTTATGCATGTGCCCAGGCCTTTGTGTGATGGTGTTGATCATCTACAATTCACTGCTATGAGTATAGATCTGTCGGGACTAGAATTAGGAATATGAATATATATATATATTCATATTTGCAGATTACCATGGAACTGGAGCTGTGAGTACCAAATGCATGTTCACACATAATTGATTTTGTTATGGCATTCATATGGGTTGCATGGGTTGAACCTTGATGATGCCTGTGTCTGTGTCGGTGACTTGAGGGTGATTTTGGGAGGAGACCCAGGATTTGCTCTTAGCTAACTCGCTCTAGGAAAGCTGATGGATCCCAGTCCTTTGGGGATAGGAAGCCTTGATGCTGTTTCACGTGTCCTTGGCTTTCCACAAAATCCTTGCTGGGAGGAACACAAGACCTTGCTTGACAACACCTGGAAAGGCTTTCCTCTTGTCAGCTTTCTCTTGTCTCCTTGGCCAACAGAGCAATGCTCCATAGGCTCTCAAGATCCTGAAGTGTCTGGAAGGGGCCAAGGGATATAGGTTTTCAGTTCTTCCTCGGGCATCTTTGCTTCCTGCCTGGGCACTTAGGAAAAGGAATTTTTGGAAGTTCGGTACCACACCGTCCTTTTTAAAAGAACAGGAGTGAGAGGTTTGGTCCCCAGAAGAAGCCTGCAGAGCCAGGAGGGTGGCCAGGTCAGCAGCATGAATGTACCTGAATAGAATCCCAGGCTTGGGGGACAGGAGAGAGCCCACTGGTTAGAAAAGGAGGTAGCAATGAGGAACAAGGACTAGGTTAACAGCAGTCTCAGGAGCTTAGCCTCCTTGCCCAAGCCCAGCATGCAAGTATACCCCTGTGCCGCCAGCCCCACTCCACAGAGAGCAGGCCCGCAGAGCCAACAGCAGATGTGCTGCCTGGCGTGCAGGAGGTAACTTAAGATCTGAGCGGATCACCTTGCAGAGGGAATGCCCTGAGCTGTAGATAACACCCCTGCATCCAGTTAACCCTCTAAGCCCCAAGCGCCTGGTGGAGCCAGAAGAAGAGAAAAAGGAAGAAATGTGAAGCAAGACATGCTATCAGAGCACTGACCGTTCTACAAGTAGAGGTGAACCCCAGTGTAGCAGAAGAGACCCGAGACAGACACAAAGATTTTGTGACAGCAGAGTGTTGAGGCAATGGATAGGTAGATCATCTTCATCCTGGGAAATGCAGAAGGGGAGGTTATAGGTTTTTCCTCTTTGGGGGTAGGGCATGGGAGCTGTGCCTTTCCCAGTCTCTCAGTGGAGGGCAGAGAAGCAGGTCACTTAGCTGTCCTTCTCCTGTAACCAGGTGTTCAACTCATCTTGGTGGTCCAACCTAGTAAAAATAGGCTGGAGGCCCATTTCTACTGAAGACTCCTGAGAAACCTTAGCAGAGTGTCTGTGTG